GTGCCTAGATGTGAATCTTTCGGCCAGAGGTATATGGCAGTGTAAGCCAAATTCATTAGTGAATTCCAAAGGTAGGGGAAATGTCTCTGTTTAATATTGAATGTTGCTTGAAACAAATGGGCCATGAGCCAGGGGTGTGGACATCCCTTTCACTATAAACCTTTCCCTTTTAATGACATATTTTGTAATGGGATTTGACGTGTAATACAAGCATCATTCCCAGTGCATGTATTACCCATCTCAGTTACTAACAATACTAAAATTAGTTTCTCTGTTTTTCCCATTTTAAATCTGTACTGTCTTACCAATAGCCACCCACTGATTTTCAAATGTTAACGATATGTGTTGGCTGACTGTATAATATCAATTTTCATTTTTAGTACCTAGGGACATTTTCATCGGAGTGTAGATTGCTCAAAATACTTGATGGACAATAAAACTAGATGTCTACCCATAAGATTTGGCAAGCTTTCCTTGAATACAAAAAACAATGCAGATGGAAAATTTTAAGTTCTATTTGATTCATTTAAGAAACCAGGGTAGTGAAATAGTTTACACATAAATTAAGGATGTTCATATTCTTGCATTTGTTTGTTTATTTATTTTGGATTTTTGGTCTAGTTCTATAAACCAGGCTGGCCCCAGACTTCGACCTCTGCCTCCCAGCTGTTGGAATTATGGATGTGTACCATCTTTCTTGCTCCAGAACTTGCTTATTTTGACTCAAATTTTGAATAAATGCTTTGAGTAGGCAAAATCCTAAATTATAAATTACTGGGTTGATATTCTTATGATTTTATTCAAGAACACAATTAGCAGGGATAATTACCCATACTGAGAGAGGATTCTATTGTAATACCTTCCTACATGGATGGAATATATCTTGGTCCAGTTTCTCTCCCATTACCCTCACTTCCCTTCTACTTCTGCTGATCCCTTTTCTCTTCACAACAGCCTTCCTTCCACTTTCAGATTGAGTTTTTCATATGAGACACAATGAACCTTCTCAGGGTTGCTTACAGGAGCCTGAGTACTTTACCAACAGCCTGGTCGCTGGAAGAAATACCTCTCTTCCCCAGCAATCACTGATTTCCAATAGATCCTAAGGATGTAATGGAGGCACTGAGTCTTTCTCTACTCCATTGTGTCCATACAGTTGTACACAATCTTGTACAGCTAACCACAGTTATTATCAAAGAACACAAGTTTAGAAAACAGTTTGCATTGAATTATATATACTTCTTGCACAAGTGCCATAATTTTGTAAGAAAATAAAGTAAACTAGTATTACTATGTAGCCCTGGCTGGCCTGGAACTCACAGGAATTCACCAGTTTCTCTGCCTCCTGAGTGCTGGCATGTAGGAGGAGGAGGCTGCTTGTTTAGTTCCTGGCTGCCTGGCTAGCTTAACTCCAAAATAATCACACAGAAACTGTATTATTTAAATCACTGCTTGGCCCATTAGCTCTAGCTTCTTATTGGTGAACTCTTATATCTTAATTTAACCCATCTCCATTAATCTGTGTATTGCCATGAGGTCATGGCCTACCAGCAAAGTTTCAGCACATCTATCTCCAGCTGCAGTGGCTCCATGGCTTCTCTCTGACTCTGCCTTCTTTCTCCCAGCTTCAGTTCAGTCTTCTCAGGTTACCTAAGTTTTGCAATATCAACAGGCCAAGGCAGTTTCTCTATTCATTAACCAAAAAAAGCAACACACAGACAGAAGGACCTCCCACACCATTTCTCCTTTTCTGTTTAAACAAAAAGGAAGGCTTTAACATAATAAAATTCTATCAAGAATTACAGTTACAATATTTATATCTACTTTATCTTTTATCATAACTAAGGAAAACTATAACTATAAATTCTTCAACTTCATCAAAGACTCCAGGAGGATATAATATTACCTAAGTAAACAGGAAGTACATTGTAAGCAACTTCTAAAACTCTATAATTGACAGAGACATTTCACTGCCTGGGCAGTCACCCAAGGTCCTTTTGTACCATTGGGGCATCCATCTTTAGCCTTCAGGCCCATAGTACTCAGCAGACTTTTCCATGAAGCAGGAAATTTCAAAGACAGATTTGCATATATTGGCAGATTGACAGTCAGTTTCTTCTGTGTCCTGCAAAATGTCTCGCAGACTCTTTCATGAAGCAGGAACCCCAAAAAATCATTTCACCTTCAGTCAAGTTCAGAAGTTATTTCTTTGTGAATCCTGCATGTCCAGTTCATCTAACAAACTCCATAAGAAGCCTCTTTGATGCTCATCTTCCTCTTGAAGTAGATTGGTGCTGCTAGAAGCAGATATGTGTCACTGTCATATAAAGTCTTAAATTTTTAAAACATTTAAATTCCATATTCCAAAGGTCTCTCAAAGATTTGAAGAATACCTATCTAACTAAATATATCTCTATAGATCTGGAAAATCTAACTAACATGACTATAAGTTTGAATATTATCGGTGATTATCTATTAACCTATATTTCTTAATTACACATTACATTTTTTAAATGAGCTACACAATCACAATACCTTAATCAAGATCAGAAATATATATATAACAAAATATATACATATAACAAAACATTAAATTTGTATCAATAAGCTAAGATCTATACCAATGTAAAACTCTATATTATATCCCCCTTGAAATGTAGACAAACATATATAAACAATATTTGGGAATATGGGTGTAGTTTTTACCATATTGCTTCCTACTGATTTGTGGTGTTGTTAATCAGGTCTTTTATGGTGTACCCTGTGTGCTAGGTTCAGTCACCAGTTGGTCAAGGTAATTTTTTAAGGGTATTCACGGTGACCTTTCAGGGGGTCTTTTTCCATCAAACCACACCAGTTTGGAAGCAATCCACAGGTTATCATCCTCTGTGGAAACAAGAGAAGAATCTCTTTTCCAAAGCAGCATATCCTTAGACCCAAATTTGGAAGTCATGATACCTTTATAATATACATGCCGGTTTAGCTTAGCAGCCCATACAATGAAATGTCTCTCTGTACTTAGCTCCTTCACAGTCAAAAGATTCAAAGAAAACACAATAATACACATAATCCAGACTCTCTGTGAATTTTTAATTTTTAAGTGGCTTATTTTTCTTTACTCCTTTTAATCTATGATTATCTGTACTCTGTCTCTTTAAATACTTTTTTGCCTCTCTATACTTTTTTCTTCTCTCTCCCAATCCTATGTACATTTATCCAACACTATGACTCATCTGGATTTGTCTTTATTGCATATCTGAAATTATTTTCTGATCAGAAGTGTTTCTTAAAGTGCTAAATGATTAAGAATTTAAGCTGTGACATTACTAGGCTACATACAGTACTTCCTGCTTGCTGTGCCCATTCCAACATGATGGAGCTTCTTGCTGCTTCCAAGAGCCACACACACCACCCAACTTCCAGGCACACAGCTGGTCCACATTGTCATTAAGCAAGCCATAGTATGCTTCTCACAAACTCCATCCAAATACTTAGTCTCCTGAAAGAGCCAGAGGTTGGACAGGCCGCACATCCCAGAAAACCTGAATTTCAAAACAACAGTGCAGCTTTTTTTCTGATGCTGCTGCTGAGTCAGGAAAACCTCTCTTAAAGGAGTTGCGGCATGCCACCAGGAAGAAGCAAGAAGCTGTGTTAAACTCTGTATTTTTTTTTTGTCTAGAATTCCTTTTCAAGCTCTTCCTTAGGTTTTATGTGAATTTAGTTGGCCACGTGGGCACCAATCTCACGTTGGGCACCAAATGAAGAAGGACACTTAAAAGAAATCCCACACTAGCTCAGAATTGAGAAAAATAGATGGTTATTTATTTAGGGGTAGACTCATAAATCAGAATCCTCTGCTGGAATGGAGAACAGCAACCAAATCCTGCAGTTGGAAAAGAGGCCAGACAAATGCTTTATATCAACATAAATAGTATAAAAAGCCACTCCCCAGTGGGTAAGTAACTTAAAGGCTACTGGCTGTAGGATTTCCTACAGTACTGACATTAATGGTGTACACCATCACACCTGGCCTCAGAAAACTCTTTAAAGGAACCAAGCATTTAGCTTTACTTACCCTGTAATTTCAATGTTATAATGTATTGAAAAAGATAATTAACCATGCAGATACTATGAAAATCATTTCTTATATATAAAGACTTTGTTGTTTTATAGACATAAAAACTTACATTAAAATCATACAGTAGAGGTGATGAAGGTCTATTACCATTATCTGCCTTCAATTGTACCTAAAAGGAGGTCTAGGGCTCAAAGCTACTCGTGTGGAATAGTCACCTTAAACAGATACTTAATCAAGACAATCTACAGGGCTGGGAAGTTCATGGTTCTTCCCATTCTACATGGAGGCTGATCTATGTGATATGCTAGAATTTGAGGAGATAAGTACACAAACCCTCAGTTTGACATTGGTGTCCAAAGCCGAGTCATAGAAATCAGAGGTGACACAGAGGAAGGCAACATGGAAGCTGATGCTGGAGAGCATGCCTTCCATATGCCATGACATCAGCTTCTAAGTCAGAACTTCAGATTTAGTCAGACTGGAAACCTACATGTATGACCATCAGATCAATGGCCTTTACTTCAAACGGACAAAGGACAGAAGAGCATGTATTCTATTCTCTGCAGACAGGCAGATCTCAAGGACAGATGGCCAGTTACTTCATCCAAATTCACCAGTCGGATAGGATAGGCATTTCTCCTTCCTTGGAGAACTAAAGATTAAAAGGGGGAGAAAAGGGATAAGATTATTTGAATAGAGAATTCTTTTATATGAAAGAAAGTAGCAGGAACTAGAAAATCACCCCCAATGAATCCCAATGCAGACTCTTCAGCCTCTTTTACTGAAGTATTGTAAATAACATCAATGAATAAAAACAAAGGAGATACAAAACAAGTAAAGCAAGATTACTAAAACCCAATTAATAAGTCGTTCACATGTGACTTTCATATTAAAATCTGGAATCTGAGGGAGGGAGAGACAGCTCAGTAGTGAAAAGTACTTGCTCTTCTTGCAGAGGAGCTGAGTGTGGGCCTCAGTACTGATGTCAGAAGCTAATAACTGCCTGAAAACATAGCTCAAGGGGAATCCAATGATCTTCTGTCTTCTTCAGGCACCAGCACACATGACATATATTCGCACAGACATGTAAGTAAAAAATAAATAAGTAAATATATTTTAACAGAATTTGGGGGATGTAGTCCAGGAGTAGACTGGTAGACCAGCATACATGAAGTCCTAGGATCAGCTCTCTGACTCAGAAAAATAATGATAATGATAATATCAACTTGGAATGGAATTTCTGGCTCACTAAGTAAACTTGCCCAGTACACTCAGGGCCTGGGTTCAATCTTAGCACAACCAAAAATAAATATGAAAACTAAGAACATAACATTTTACATGAATCTCTTTTTCCTTGCTAATGCTTTTATTAAATGGTTAATGGTGGGGTGGTTATGCAAGAATGTGAATGTTCTTAATTTCAAAGAAATATGCACTTTAAATTTTAAAACTGATAAATTTTATACTTTGTGCATGCTACTACTTCAGTAAAAATAACTTTAAAAATAAATGAAATGAAAAATGATTAATAAACAAACTGTCATAATTCTACTGACTAAACATTTAAAAAATACTCCAGCTTCAAAAACAATAACTGTAAAAGCATTAAATGGAAAAAGTGATATTCTAATGATAATCTTGTGTATACCTTGGCTTGTGCCGGATATTTGTTAAAACATTATTCTGAAAGTTTCTGCGATCACTTCTGGATAAAATAAACATTTAAATTGGTGAAATTGGGGCAAGGCAGATTGTCCTCCAAAATGGTGAGTGGCCTTGTCCAGTCAGTTAGAATTAAATAGAACAAAAGGTTCTCCATGCCCCTGTATGAGGGAATTCTCCAGCAGAAAACCTTTAGACTCAGCTATAACCTCTGCTCATCATGGTTCCATAGCAGATTGTCTTTGAAAAAGAACTGTAGTTCTTTTGGTCTTACAACCTGATGGCTTCTGCCATCATACGTGGGACTCACCGAACCTCCATAATCAGCTTAACAATTCCTTAGTATAAGTGAATAAAACATATGAGCTAGTATATATTGTATTGGTTCTGTTTCAAATACATGTACATGCGCGTGTAGATAGAGAAGAGCACACTAGACAGTTTAGGCACAGATTCTCTGTTCTACATTGTGTGTGTGTGTGTGTGTGTGTGTGTGTGTGTACACATATTTTTGAATAACAACAAGTAATTGGAAAAGAAGGCGCAGATTGGAGAAAGAACCTGAAGGGTTTGGAGGGAGGGAAATGAAGGGAAAATTATATAATTATTGTAATTATTATTATAATCTTAAAAAGAAAAAGGAAACAAGGCTTTATTTTATTTAACTCACAGTTTGAGCGAACAGGGGAGTCATAACAACAGGAACTCGAGGCAGCTTGTCACATTGCGTCTGCAGTCAGGAAGTAGACAATGATAAATGTTCAATTGCCTCCACTGTATTATGCAATCGGGAACCCAAGCACAGTGAATGGTGGCGTCCTCCTTAAGGTTGGGTTTTCCACTTCAGTTAACCCAGTCACGCAGGTGTGCTCAGAGCATAACTTAATCTAAACAATTCTTCACAATTTTCCCAGCAGTTTGACTTCTAGGTGACTCTAGATTCTGTCAGATTGAAAATAACCCTAATCATCATGATGAATATAAATTAAATTTGGTTTGCAAAAACTGTAGAGGCTATTGCAATAAACTATTTTATAAGCAACTGTTCAAACTCCTGTGATATGTCTGAGGAAATTTTATTTCAAAGGCTACTCATCTTTAATTACATTAATCAAATTTCTAGATATGTTACTTACATATACAATTAGCCATTTTAAGTGTATGGATAAATTATGACCAACATACTTTGACAGATACACTCATATAACTATTATAATCAAGATACAAAATGCATTAAATATGAAGTTCTTCTATGACTGTTAGTTAACTTCATCTCATCACTCATATGTCTAGATTAATCTCATTTTCTTTTTCTAGAATTTCACAGAAATGGACTCCTACACAAGCACGCCCTTTGAATCTAGCTTCTTTCATTCAGGATGACCCTTCGTCATACAGCTACATTATTCCATTTGTCAGTAGCTCATGTATTTTTCACATTTATTCCTACTCCATAAAATCAATAGAACAATGTCTGTGCATCCATTTACCTTGTCATGGGAACCTGGGTCACTGCCAGATTGGGCTATTTCTCACTTGTTCTTATGTTAACCTTTGTACACTGTCTTAATTAAGTTTCTATTACTCTGATAAAATACCACTACCAAAGTCAACTTGGTGAAACAGGTCCCCAGACCTTCGCACACCTGACATCACATTGAAGGCACCATTCTGACCTTAGAACCCAACTCATAGGCCCCAACATCAGTCAAAACTCAAATAGATACTTAATCCATCAAAGATCTAGTCCATGGTTCCAGGATCAAGAAAAGTCCCTAAATGAACTAAGCTTGCTTATGGGCTTCTGTAGTTTCATATATTGCTAACTGTTCTTGTTAAATGAAGTGTGTCAACCAAGATATGATTTTTTGTGCATAAAAGACAAAAAATGGTGAAGCTTAAGCAGCATGATTTGGGCAAGTTCTCCTTGCATGCTGGAGCCAGCAATGCAAACTTTCTATTCTGCTTTAGAAGTTCCCATGGGTGTTCTTTGGTGGAGTTATCACATAACATTAGGAAGAGAAAATGTTTATCTCAGCTTAGAGTTTCACATCACGGTCCAGCACTGAAGGAAGTCAGGTCAGAAACTCAGACAGGGCAGGAACCTGGAGGCAGGAGCTGATGCAGAAGCCATGGAGGGCTGCTGCCTTTTGGCTTGCTCCTCATGACTTACTCAGCACCCAAGACCACCAGCCCAGGGTTGGAACCACCCACAGTGAGCTGGGGCCTTCCACATCAATCATTAATCAAATAAATGCCTCACAGGCTTGCCCACAAGCCAATCTGATGGGGGTACCTTCTTAATTGAGGTTCCCTCTTCCAACAATGACTCTAACTTGCAACAACTTGGCATAAAAACTAGCCAGCATATATATATGAATAAATTTTTTTATTCCTGTTCGGTAACTGTACTGGAGTATAGTTACTAGCATAATAATGAGCCATTAGTTGTATACTAGGTCGAATACTCTTCCATTTTGCAAACGAGTTTTCCATTTTGTATTTCCATCAGGACGTGAGAACTTTTGCTCATTATGTTCTCATCAACAGGAGGTTTTCATTATGTTCTCATCAACAGGAGGTTTTATCAGACTTTTCCATTCCAAACATTCTTTCATGATATAACATCTACTTGTATTTGATTATGCCTCTACTTTGTATTTTTATTACACATAATACTATTTAACATAGTTCCTCATGCTCACAGCTCATTTCCCCATCTTTTCAACCAAAGTGTTTGTATACTTGTATTCGTTAAATATTCTGGAAACAAAGCATTGGAAAGAATACGTGCTCTGTAAATGTTGTCTTCCCAATCTATGGTTTTATTAGTTTTGAAAACCATTTCTTTCAGAAACCAGAAATTTTAAATTTTGATGGTATCTAATTTATAAAAGTATTTAACTGTTACCAAAAAAAAAACAAAAGAATTTTTTGATATTCCCTTTAAGAAATTTTGGGTCAGAAAGATGTCTCATTAGAAAAGGCTGTTTGCTGTGCATGTATAGATACCTGTGCTCAGGTCCTCGGTTGTTAAATAGTAGCCTGGTCTGGCTGCACCTACCTCTAGCCCCAGAGATGTAGTGGGGACTGGAGCATGGGAGGTAGAGACAAGAGGATTGCTGAGATTCACAGGCAAGCCAGCCTGACTTACCCTGCAAGTTCCATGCCCATAAGTAAGCATGCCTCAATTTTTTTGTACTTTGTCAGTTTTTATTTCATATATTCTAAGAGCTCTCTTATTAAGCAAATACACGTTTGGAATTACATCTTCCTGATCAGTTTTTATATGCCTCTGGTAATAACAATGTTCTTTTGTCAGTTTTTTATTAATAGGATCTCAGCGACATCTTATAGCTAATGTTTGTATACTGCATCGTCTTTGTCTTTTAATTACAACTGTTTTTACATTTAAAACAACTTTTAAAGAGAGTGAATTACTCAGTCTTTCAAATACATAGTCTGACAATCCCAGCATTTTAAAAAGAATGCTTAAACCACTAAAATAAAGTTGGTTTGATTGGGCTTAGTGTTTTGTTGTTGTTGTTGTTGTTTAGGGAGTTGCTTTGTCGTTGTTTTGAGAAAGGTCTAGCTTTGTCGCCCAGAATGACCTATGGCTTATGATGTAAAACAATCTGCCCTCAAACTCTATAGCCTTCTGCACCAGCCTCCAGAATACTGGGATTATCCTGAGCCAAAGTCCCAGCTATTGGGGTTTAAAGCTAAGATTTCGCGTCATGATTCTAATTTGCTCCTCTTAATTGTGGTATCCTTGTCTCTGATTCCATTTGTCTTGAGAATTTAACTATCGCCAGCTGGCTCATCTACTATGTATTTAACTTGATCTTGGTGTTGTTCATGACTGCTCCATGGTTTCTACTTTCTATTAAGACTGCAACATGTACTTTCTAATATTCCACTTTACAGAAAATGTAAGAAGAGAATGCTTTCATTTCATCCTTCAATTCACTGTGTAAATTTCATCCTGTAATTTTTCTATACATTAAAAGGATAAATTTATTCTTTCATCTTAAAATATCAATTGCAAAGAAATTTAGGAATTTAGGAACAGACTCTCCAATATATATTCCTTCATATTTATACTTTACTACCATTATTCCTTCACATAGATCTAAATTTCCATCTACTGGTACTTGATCTTGTCCTGAAAACCTTTCTTTTTCTTAGTAAAAATATAATAGTGGTGGATTCTTTTCTTTGCCTGAGAAATTACTTTCATTATTTTTAAAGTGTTCTTTTACTAGGTTTGGAATTCTAAATTTTATAAAGATGTATTTATTGTCTCTATATCTTCAGAATTTTATTCCATTTCCCCATTTACACTGCAGAGACCCTGCCTTTGGGTTCTGTGATTTCTCGTGAAGGTTTTATGTTAATTTTTGCCTTCTTAAAAATTCTCAATGATCAATAGGTGATTATTATTCTCAGTCAATTCACTAGGTACTTAGTGTAGATATCCTCTACAAATGACTCAAATTTGTTTATATTTTTATGCACTATGGTCAGTTATGAACATGAATGAATTATTAGTCTGGATATAATGTTTTTAATTTCTTGGAGCCCCATTTGGTTTTTATTATAGCATCCATGATTTTCCTCATGGTTCTTCATACTTTTAAGTCCATCATCCTCTGTAGTTCTAACATCTACAATTTCTGGGTAATGTTTCCAGACTGATATTTTTCTCCTGGTTATTAATCACATTTACATTCTTCTTTACCATCAAGTAATTTGGGTTTTAATACTAGGTGTTGTGATTTTGTATTATGAATATCTGGAATTTTTATTTTCCTTTAAAAGTTGCCAAACTTTGGGACAATGGACATGGCATAGTATGTAAAATGCTTGCCAAACTCAAGGACTGAGGTCAGACACCCAGGATTCATGTAAAAATACATGGCTGCAGGTATCTATAATTAGAGTCACTTTACTGCAAGATGCAAAGGAGAGACAGGAGACAAGAGGACCATGGAAGTTCATGGGCCAGCTACAATGACATATAGGTAAAGAATAAGAGACTTTGTCTCAAACAAGTCCAAATACAAGGACCAACACTAAAGGTTGTACTCTGCCTGTCACATATGTGCTGTAGTGTGCTAGTACTCAAACATAGAAACATGAAAACACATGCATATGCATATCACACACACACACACACACACACACACGAAGAACCCACGATTAAACAAAACAAATCAATCACATTATTGGCAGATAAACTAGATTCCTTTAAGGTTTGCTTTCACATGTGCTGAAATACAGTGAATGTGTTTTTCTGCCCCCTGAGAGTCGTGCAGCGTCTCCCTTATCTTTCATCAGTAGCTCTGTGCTCAGGCCCATGTGACTTTGTCATATGCATGAATGCCTTAGCCTTCAGCAGTGAGATCATTAAAGAAACACCTCTGCGAGTCTGGAGCTTTTCTCCTCTTGTCCTCTGTGCTACAAATTCCAACTGCTTAAACTACCATAAACTATTTTAGCCAGTGGGAGGGAATGGTGGAGATTAAATCCAGGGCCCTGTGCATGCTAAGCATGTACTCTACCGCAGCTAGATCCTCAGTCTTCTTTGAATTCTTCCTTTTGAGGTGTGGTCTCTCTAAATTGCCTGCGTTGCTTTTGAACTCTTTCTGTAACCTTGATATACTTTGACTATATGATCGGTCCTCTCTTGCCTTCTTGAGTAGCTAGGATCACAGACCTCTGTCATCAGGTGGTCGGCCTGCTATAAACTCCAGTCTGGTTTCTCAATTCAGGCAGTGGCATATATTTTTGGGGTTCTTCTCACTGAGAAATTATCTACAAGGTCCCACCAGACAGACACGACAAAATCACCCCAACACCGTATTTTTTTCAAAGTAAGTATTTTCCTTTTCTCATTTTAGTTCCAGTCTTGATAAATACAATTTAGAAATAAAATAAATCTATACAAATATTTATAATATACAAGAAACCAAAGTTTGGTGTTGAAGAGAGGAAGGCGGAGTTGAGAGAAGCCATGGAGCTGCCAGAGTCAGACATGTGGAAACTTTAGCCGGTAAGCCACAGCCACGTGGTGATACACAGATTAATAAAAATGGATTAAATTAAGATGTAAGAGTTAGTCAATAAGAAGTTAGAACTAGTGGGCCAAGCAGTGATTTAATTTATACAGTTTTTTTGTGATGATTTCGTGTCTAAGCGAGACGGGTAGCCGGGACAAACAAGCCGCCCCTCCTTCCAACAGTTTGGCATTCATTATATATTTTCCTAAAATTTTAAAAGAAAAATGAGACAAAGAAAAATAGTTAAATTGTTATTATTTATCATGGTCAAATATAAAAATGTCATATGTTGCTCCAGGAGCTCGTCAAAGGCAACCAACCACCCAGACACACCATGTAGCCGATTGAACATCTCTAGTCCAGCTATCTGGGACCACACCTAAAATTTTGAAGATCTAGGTAGGGCCCCAAATATTCAGAACATGGGGTTTTGAAGACTAGAGACTTCACTCAGGCCTTTACTTCACTCAGCAGCTGGGGAGGGTCAGGGGTTTTCTTAGTGAGTAGATTGAAGCAAGCAATTTTTACAGAAGCCAGGATAAGCAGCTAGCCAGCCTGAGGGGGGGGGGCGCCGCAAAAACAGGCAGCTGAGATAAGTGGTTCCCGGAGGAGGTTCCGCACAAACAGGCATTTTAACTAAAGCTAAGATAAGTTAGCTTGGGCATCCTAACCTTTGGTTCCTAGAATAGAGTTGGATAGTTTTCCATGGGATTCTCCACCAAGGAGAACAGATTCTAGTTAAGCCTGGAATGGCTTCAGCAATACAGGGTGGAGGAAGGTCTGCACTGCCTTGTCCCATCATAATATAATGTTTTGATAAAGTACACCAGTTTCCCCCTCAAGAACTGTCGTAGCCCTTTGAAATCTTATTAGTTATTGATAGAAGCACCTAATTCCCAACATTTTCACATATCATTTTGTTAGTCTACTAAATCTTTGTTCATTTGATAGGAGAAATCAATCCCTATCGTTTCAAGTTATACATCTTTAGTTACTATATGAACAGCTTTTTCAAGTATGTATAAGCTAAATCCACCTTCTTCTGCCCCATTGCCTCCTTTCATGGATTAGTACCCTGCAGGGACAAAGGTAAACCTTTCAGGACAAGAAGGTTCAGAGAGAAAGTGAGTGAACAGATTTGGGGCAGTGGGCACAAAGCATGGTCTATCAGAAATCTTGACAGGGTCAAGTATTCTCTCATCTAATTGTATGCTTGACTTTCCTTGACCCAACAATATCCTTAGTGCTTATTCTAGTCTACACTCTTTCAGACTAGCGTCATAGAGCCTTCCGTTTCTCTAGCATAACAACACTTTTCCTTTACTAAACCATCAGCTTCCAGTCTGGCTATGCTGGTATGTGGCACGTGCTGCCAGACACCGGTTGCCCAGCAGGGAATTTGATCTAGACCCCACTCTTGGAAGCCTGGGATTCATTTCAGGCCTCCGCATGGCCTTAAAACAAGAAGAAATCCCCAGTTGCTAATGGGAATGATGAACCAACTCTATAAAACTTTAGGTTTCTGGGAACTTGGTTCAAAAGTGTGTGTACTTGGATTTTACCAGCCCCAATCTCAGGGTCACCTGTCTATCCCTTTCTTTCTCTGAGCTTAATACAACAAAATCTGCTGAAAGTAATTCAACCTTCTGTTCAGCCTTCCTACTTCAATGATTAACTCAGCCTGCTCTTTGGTTCTGCCCTCTGGCTCTAGGACATCTAAAGGTTTCCTGGAATGTTCACAGGGGACAATAAAGCTTTTATTTTTTCTCTTGACTCAGTGAATATTATACATGCCACCATGTCTTTAACCGTGCTCCAAAGAGGTAACCAATTCCAAAGTTCTTATCCTTAATATTTCCTTCATACTCTTGAAATGCCTGAAATATTCTATTACCTGGTGTGTCCCCTTCCACTTATATGCTCTGCTGGTTCATCGCTGATTTAAAAAAATATTCTAATGATGGCCATTCCTTTGCGTGCCAAGGATTACCATCATTCCACTTAGCACCAGTCGTGGTGTTCTCAGAACCAAAGCATCTGTGAGAGGTCCATCCACAAGATTCCATTCCAGAAACTGCTTCCTAGGATTAGTCCTGTGCCACTAGCTTGCATCCATTTTCTGGAAACAGAGATGGGGGCTGCATGAAAGTCAGTGGGGACTATAGAAGACTTCTCTCGGAAGATATGGCTCAAAGACATGAGGAAGAATAATAGGGAGGCAGGAGCTGATGTTCAATATGGTTTCAGCTGAGACCTTAGACAATCTAAAGAGTGTCAGGATGTCTCCCCAAGGAAGTCTTAAATTGAAATCAGGGCTTGGAGGTTTTTAAATGCTGGTCATTGATTCTGAGCTACCCATGGTAGAATAACCTTGGGAGAGGCAATTTCCTCTGCCCAAGGACAATATCCAGGCACAGGACAATTGTGAGCCTTTAAAAGCTGAGGTGCTGAGCAACAGAGGAATGACCTCAACAAAAAAATCTAAATGGAGAATTGTAGTGTGCCACACTTTTTCCTTAGAGCTCACTACTATCTACTACTCACTTAGGTCAGAGTCCATATGTTTTTGTTTTGAAGTTCATTATTTTCAAGAGGGCAGGATAACATGCGGACCAAAGTGATGGATGGTCCCAGTTATTAAGCTACTTGCCTTTCCAAATGGTGCTTTTTTCACTATGTTCTTATCACGGTGGCACTATGGATCTGCCAAATCATTTCTCCAGACTTCTCTGTCAGCTTCTTGTGACACTTTCCTCAGTCTCACTGGACCCTTTGAAAATATGGTAGCATCCTGGCCACAAGCTCTCCTCAGGGGCCTGAACTCTCCAGATGCCCTGTCAGCAAGCTTCCTCAAGACCCCCAACCTTTCTTCTACTTTTCCTAGGTTTAAGACATAAGGGCTAGAAAACATCATTTTGAGTGAGGTAACCCAGACCCAGAGAGAAAATTATCACATGTACTCACTCATAAGTGGTTTTTAAACATAAAGCAAAGAAAACCAGTCCACAAATCACAACCCCAGAGAACCTAGACAACAATGAGGACCCTCAGAGAGACATACATGAATCTAGTCTACATGGGAAGTAGAAAGTAGAAAAAGACAAGATCTTCTGAGTAAATTGGGAACATGGGGACCTTGGGAAAGGGTTGAAGGGGATGGAAGAAACAGGGAGGGGAGCAGAGAAAAATGTAGAGCTTAATAAAAATAACAAAATACAGAAAAATATTTCTTGCAGTCACTTTCCCTGGGCTAACTCCAGGATCCCCTTCTGCTAGCAGGGTTTGTTTTGGGTTTTGTTGTTGTTGTTGTTGTTGTTCTTTGTTTTTCTATTTTTCTGTAATCAATTACCTACACTCAATATCCTCTAACAAACACCTACCGTGGCTTCTGCTTTCTTGCCAGGTGGTGCCTGAAACAGTCATCTGATAAAAGGAAAGGAGGTGGCAAGTGATGGGCCTTGTGTTTGTGAAGGATGAGGACCATATGAAGCGAGAAATGATCAAAGATCTGAAGACACAGCTTGCTGCACTGAGTTCTAGACACTTTCAGTAGCATTATTCCTGCGACGGTCTCACTTATGGCCACCAAGTTGTAAGCGGAATGAAGGCAAACATTTGAGTTGATTAAAGATTTGTTGAGTAGGTGGGTGTTAGAAGAGAAACAGCCAAGGTTATCAAGGACACTCGGAAAGAGTTTTAAGTCCAAGCTCCCTAAACAGAGTTTAGAGAACACTAAGTTTTATTCCCAGAGAAGTGTAACTGCTTCAGCATATAAATAGAACTAGATAAGAAATTTGCTTTATACTAAGGCTTAGGAGGGGTAAGACCACCCTACTAGTTCAAAATTGTCTCAAGTTTCAGTGATGTAATGGTAAGTATTATCATATGGTCAACTATTTCATCAAATCTTTGCTAAGCAAAGCTAGTTCGTGACTTTTGAGTCATCATTTGGAGTCTGTTTAGGCTACATTTAGTTAATAAAGAAATAAAATAGCTGAACTCTGCTTTGCCTTTTATATCTCATTCTGCTTGCCAAATACTCCAGGCTTAGGGAGGGTCAGTTCAGCACAAATGACTGCTGACTTCCAGAGCAAGTGTTGACTCTGTAATCTGTTGTGTAACAAGACTCTGGAGAGCCACCTTGTCAGAGCAAAGACCGCTCCCCAGGAGAGAAACTTGCCCTTCACTCTTACAAAATATGTTGAAGATAACTCATATTCTGAGGGTAAGCGGTTAGAGAATTTTTTAAAACATTCCTCCTCAAAAGGTAATAGGTTCATCGAACCATTATCAGCTACACCTGACGTCCTTTAAAACCCTCTAAGCTACTTACGTATGTAGGAAGCAGTCCCTTTAAGAGCGAGCCCAATTGTTCCTTCCTCTGAGAGGTCCTCCTCTACACCAGCCATCCTGGGTTCTTCCTGTTACATCCTTTGTCCCTTCCAAACACAGATGGAGCTGGAGGTGTTTCTAGAGGTTGCTCACTCATGCAAACCAAGCTTCGATGTGGAAGCGGTTTTGTTGTTTCCCCAGCAAGTTGCTTTGTTGGCGTTAACACAGAACTTGAATCGCTTAGAGACAGTTCTCTTTGGCTGTGGCAATTCTGGTTGGAATGAAGCAAACTATATTCAAATAAAACCAAAAGGAAAACATTCCATTTGGGATTGGGCTCTATCCTGAATATCGCTCTCTCCCCTCAGAGTGTTTCAGGACAGTGTTTTCTGGAGCTTAAATGATGCTGGGAAGTGCTGGAGAATTGTGAGAGCCTCTTGTCCCCACACCTTGGGCTGCTTGAACAGTGTAAGAGTACGTACGTCCCGTAAAACACATTTTCTAGGCAAAAGGTGCTGGGAGCTTGGTTTGTAAAAGGACTTGTGCTTGGATGAATAATTAACCCAGGTGTTTGTCTTACCCATTACTATATAACAAACCACCCCCCAAAAATAATGACTAAAACAACCACCACCTATCAGTCTGTGGCTCTGCAATCCGAGGCTTTCACCAGAGTAGTGTTTGGCAAGTTTTATCTGTGCTTTCTATCTCTTGTGTGTTTGTAGTTTTCTGGAGAACAGACTGAGACTAGGAAATTCAAGACATTCACTATTAGTCATGTCGAATCTCCATAGATTATAACTGCTCATTCTTCCCGTACTTACTCTTCTCTTCTTGAGTACCAGTTCGAGAAACCATTTCACCTGGGGTGCATTCTGTTATGTGCTCTTACAGCCCGCATGTACTGACCCCTAACCTCCCGCATTATAGGCCAGCCTCTGGGCCTTCACCTCCCCACCTGACTTCTGCCTCTGTCTTGAACCCCCCGGCAAACACAAAGTGGGTGACAATGGCTGGGGAACAAATCCTTCTCATTTGTGGGTTTATCTGGCCCTGTACCTGCAGCTGAGTAAGAGATCAATATTATCTGCTGAGGAAGTGTGACTTGATAGCCAAATTGGGAATTGGGAGAAAAAACTTAATTCCACCACTGTGGAATTTCCACAAACAAATAACAGAGATTGGGTAAAGGGAAGGGAAGTCCAGGGCTTCAAATGATGAGTCATTGTAATGAGGTAATGGCAGTGTTTGATAAAAATCTGCTATTTTATGAGCACATTTGACTGAGGTAGGCTTTTCTCAAGAAGCCTAGGAACACAGTCAAAAATCAGTTAGTACAGAAATAGGAAACAATAATATTAGTGTTTTCACCATTTCTGAATATATGAAACACCTAACAAAATCACTTAGGAGAGAGATTTTTTTTTCTTATCTCAATTTATTCTAACTACTTGTGTGATTGCAAGCTAGTCTCCATTTCTTATTTCCTGAATATCATGCTGTATACACCAACGAAGGGAAAAATGAATGCAGGTAGACAGTATGTGAAAGAACTCAGTTTGGGGGAATGGTAGTCACCAAATGGATTAAAGGAACCTGATAGGGCAAAGAAGTATTTAAATAAGGTGTCATGGCAATCAATACCTTTCATGACACCCTGGAGCCCAGATAGCCAATTAGAGTTGCCCCAAATTCGGCAAAGGGCCAGGCCTTTGGCTCTGCTGACAAGTCACTGGAAGGGTGCTCACCTCAGCCAGGAAGTAGGGGGCAGGACTCTGAATCTCTTTTCTTTGAAGAAGGGAAATCTCTGGACAAGGGCTTCACTCTGGGCAATCAGTCAAGAGAGCAAGCAGCTGGAAATGAGTCCGTAGGACTGATGGCATCCCGCGCCATCCATGAACACCTGTCTCTAGTAAAAGAACAAGTTTGAGCTTCTGTTTGACAATTTGAGGGCAGGGAGACGCAAATCTCCATTTTGAGAAATGCGCAAAAACACGTTTTGAGATAACTTACATCCTGTGTGAGAATATATCGATGTGACGGGTGTAAGAAAGAGCTGAATGGCCAAAAACTAAGCAGGAGATATAGGCCAAACTTCCAGGCAGATTTCTGTAGGACTTCTGTAGAACTTCTCCCTCTACTATTAAGTAGAAAAGTCCTTTGAAAAGGTTTGGGTAGCGTCGTTTCCTAAGAATAAACAAATCCAGCCTCAGACCTTAAGGTTTGTTCGAGAAACAGGAGTTAAAGGTCTCAACTGAAATTGTTCTCCATTTCTATTTCAGAAAGCAACAGCAGAGTCAGATTGTCATCCAACTGTCATTTTGTTATTGGTACAGCTAGACTGAAGAATGTGGCAGAGAGTCAAGAATCTCCTCCTCTAGCCTGGCACTGAATTGTCGCAGTCACTGGAATAAAGATCATTCGGGCGGCTCAGATCACTGTCCAGGTCTCCAGGTCTTCCCTCACCAGCTCCCGTTATCCCGCGCCCCTAAAGGGGGATTGTTGTGGTTATTGATTGGCCCTTTGCTAAAAAAAAAAAAAAAGAAAGAAAGAAAGAAAAGAGAATTGTCTACACAATTTACAAAGGGATGATATAAAGGTAACTTAGAGACAAGCGAATCCAAAATGGTGAAATAGAGGTACCCAGCTACCACTTTCTCCACAAAGAACTGTTTCAAAATGTGAGTGATCACCTTTGAAGGTGATGGCTGAAGGAGTGTGCTGGAGCTCAGAAATGGGGAATGGGAATCTTGTAAGGTGCACAGACCCAGCAGGGCAAGCAGAACACTGACTCCCCCCCCCCCATCTCAGGTCAGGGGGACTGTGGACTCTGGATGGCAGATAAACAGCAAATGAAAGCGTCCTCAAATCTCATTGCTATCGATGGCAGAAATCCTAGGCACGGGAGAGTTTCACAACTGACACAGGCATGGAGTCAAATGGAAGGAGCTGCCTAAAGTCCTCCAAGTAGCTTTGCTGCAGAGTAATTCAGAATGGGGTTAACCCTTTCTAAGCTCCAGGGTATAGGTTGGAATATAATGCTATCTTGAAATTAGAACCCCTACACTATTACCATGAGGGGTAGAAGCATCTCTCTCTCTCTCTCTCTCTCTCTCTCTCTCTCTCTCTCAGCTCAAACAAGTAGACATCCCCATGTTCTGTACCCTTAGCATCAACATTCCCTGTGAAACCTCAACAGCCTATACCTCAGCACTGTCTTTACTACTACCAAAATTCAAGCCTGCCCAAAGTTCTCGAAATCATTCACTTCTGGAAGTCTACATCCAATGCCAACTCACATACTACACTGGGACACCTAGTAACTGGTGATGTTGCCAACATCTGGAGAATTCACACAGATATTGCTCCTTTGTGCTTCCTTGTAACCAAGGCCAGTGTACCCCAACCAACTAACATCCTACAACCCATCACAGAAAAACAGCTCTCCTGATGAAAGTTGCCCTATAAAATTATAACAGGTAAGGGTTGTAGAATGACAAATTCAACAAAGAAATATAGATCATGAAAAATAATCCATCAAAATCTTTGGGCTGAAATATTCAATCACTGAGAAAAAATACAACTAAGAGCTTCAACAACAGACTTGATGGAACAGGAGAAATAATTTATGAAATTTAAAATGTCTTTTGAAAAAGTAATCAAAAAAGAAGAAATGAATAAAAGAAGGTTCAGAGAAGGGGGACAGAGGGAAATAAAAAAAATAATTAGCAAAGTCTATGACAATTATAGAACAATTAAAGAAATAATTATGAATATTCCAGAAGGATTATTCAAGATAAAAGACAAAAAAAATTCATTCAACAAGCTAAATGCAGAAAACCAAATCATTGGAAAGAAACTGATGGCCAGATAGTTCTAGGGGTCTCAAATTACTTGTAAAAGTCCAAATGTAAAATACACTATAGTCTCATGCATTCAAACCAGTGGTTCTAATGTTCCTAATGCTGTGACTCGTTAGTACAGTTCCTCATGTTGTAGTGATCCCCAACCAAAAATTATTTTTACTGCTAGTTCATAACTGTAATTTTGTTACTGTTATGAATTATAAAGTAAATGTCTCTATTTTCTGATGTTCTAAGGTGACCCCTGTGACAGGGTCATTTGACCCTCAAAAGAGTTTCTACCCACAGGATGACAACCACTGATTTAAACATTTTGTCACTCACTGGAATTATTTTTGGAAATTGTGCAAGCAGCTTCCTGTTCCTGTCATGATGACCTCCGTTGTAGCATGAGGGGCCAGCTTGTTGGGGTGTCTGTCCTGCCCAGTACCCCACAACCAGCAAGTCCCAAAGAAAATCAATCACACAGAGATCTCTATAAGTTATAAAGCTGATTGGCCCATTAGGTCAGGTTTCTTGTTAACTCTTATAACTTATGTTACCCCATTATCCTTATCTATCTTAGCACATGGCTCCATACCTTTCTCAGCTGGGCAAGTTACATGCTGCCTCTTCGGTGGTCTGTGCAGGAATGGCAGAGGAACCTCCCTGCTTCCCAGAATTCTCCTGTTCTCATTGCATCACCTCTACTTCCTGTCTGGTTTTCCCACCTATACTGCCTGCCTAGCCAATCAGCGTTTTATTAAAATATGATTGACAGAATACAGACAATTCTCCCGCATCACTCCGTGACTGCTAACTCATCTTCCCCAACATGGTGGACTATACCCCCTGTGACTATAAGCCACAGCCACCCCTGTATCCCTTAAGTTGCTTTCATAGCCAGAACCTGGAAACAACCTAAATAATTCAATCTTATTGCTACAGAAAGCACCAAAACATAAAAGCAAATAGTAATATACACAGAACATACAAAATAATTTTAAAACAACAAAGAAAATGATAATAATAAATTTTACTTTTTATTAACCCTGTATGTAAAGATTGAATTCTTCAATCAAAAGAAATGTGGTAACTTGATGGGATTTTTAAGATGCAACCTAGTTACATGTTACCTGCAAGAAACTCTCTTAAAATATAGACTAAAACAGAAGGAGAACTACATTCTTCAAAAATACAAAAACACGCCAGTTAGAGTAGTTTTACACTCAGATCAAGTAAGGAAGCTTTTAAATCAAAATGTGTTAACAAGATAAGGAATGTTAATAGACAGTGATAAGTAAATCAACTTATCAAGAGGAGATGACAAATATAATTAAACCCTCAACTCTGGAAAACTCAATTATACAAGACCATCACTATAAGACCAAAATGGAGAGAAAGATTCCAATTCAATAATCTTTGGAGACCTGAATACCTACTTTCATCTGTGGACAAACCATATAGACCAAAGAAAGTCAATGATAAAATAGCAAAATTAAATTACACTGTAAACCAAATGTACCTAACAAACATTTATAAAGCTTCTTAAACAGTATTAAAATAATTGATTTTATTTTTATGAATACAGAGTGCATTACTCAAG